AGACTCTTCTTCTTGCGCCGGACGGGATGGTGGTGCATCTTTGCTGTGGAAAGCAGCTTCAGCTCTAACCCAGATCAGTGAAGATTAATCTGACATGTTTAGATTTTATTTACATGTTCTAACTTATTTTACTGCAGTTTTCAGTTTTAGATTTGAATCCTATTTTTAATTTTACAACAAATTTTACTTAAAATTTCAATTCACACATAAAAATGACATTTAATAGTGGAAATTCATCTTTACAGTTACAACTGAATTTTTACTAGTCAATATTTTATATTTACTGGGGCAATTTTAATTTTCACGTGTACCATTTGAATTAAACTTTATAAATTAAATGTTTACCGTATTTCAAATATGTACATTAAATTTATATAGAACACAAATACCTACATTTAGAGTCGGTTATTCATTCAGCCTAATGAGAAACTGTAGAACAGACTCAGTTTATATCACAATACCTACATTTAGAGTCGGTTATTCATTCAGCCTAATGAGAAACTGTAGAACAGACTCAGTTTATATCACAATACCTACATTTAGAGTCAGTTATTCATTCAGCCTAATGAGAAACTGTAGAACAGACTCAGTTTATATCACAATACCTACATTTAGAGTCAGTTATTCATTCAGCCTAATGAGAAACTGTAGAACAGACTCAGTTTGTATCACAATACCTACATTTAGAGTCAGTTATTCATTCAGCCTAATGAGAAACTGTAGAACAGACTCGGTTTATATCACAATACCTACATTTAGAGTCAGTTATTCATTCAGCCTAATGAGAAACTGTAGAACAGACTCAGTTTATATCACAATACCTACATTTAGAGTCGGTTATTCATTCAGCCTAATGAGAAACTGTAGAACAGACTCGGTTTATATCACAATACCTACATTTAGAGTCGGTTATTCATTCAGCCTAATGAGGGCGAAGAAGCTTGTGAATAGGAAGCCTCTTGCGCTCCATCTGCTTCTCTTTTCTTTCTTCTGTCAGTCTGTATGAAGAGAGCTCTGAGTTCTCGCTGAATCTGTTTGTACAGTCAGTTGTTTAGCAGCTTTTTCCATTTGAGATGTTTTTGTGTTTTCACTGTGTTCACGCTGAACACTAACGCTGCCGCTCAGTCAGTCCTTCTGCCTCAGTGGGAACAGTGACTCCCACCAGCTGTGACATCACATGCATGACTTCCATAGAAAAATAAAAACAGGAGCAGCACAGATGATCGGTTGTCATATATGAGCTAATTTGCAAATTATGCACGTAGACAGTGATCAGATTTCAGTCTGACTAACCGGAAAAGTGCTTGATCACTAAATGTGAACGCATGCAGTTTAAATCAGGTCATAATCCAGATTCAATTCATATGAAACCAGCAGGTGTAAACATGGTCTAAATGTGTGTGTGTGTGTGTGTGTGTGTGTGTTTTAGGTGAGTTTGAGGACTCCTGAGCTGACCTGGGAGAGAGTTCGCTCTCAGGTCGATCATGTGATCTGGCCCGATGGAAAGAGGATCGTTCTGCTGGCCGAGGTGAACACACTCACACTCAGTCCAGATCGAGCTGTTAGACTCAGCAGCTTCAGACTGGATTAGTCTACGGCCCCGTTGTGGTATCAGTGCCCCCCCTCACTCGCATGCCCTCCCAATATAGTCACTATGGTCACTTTCATGAGTGACCACCATATCTCACCAGAACCTGGTTCGTTTTGCTGGTTTCCCTGCAGCTGTTGCTGATCTGCACTCACCTGTTCTGCGACCACAGAGAAGCCGTTAAGTTGCTGTGATGTGGCCGTTAATTATGACTGATTTCATTTCAGTAACATTTAATACTGTCTGCCATTTTTAAACAGGAATCATGGCAGATTTGATAAACCAACACAGTTAAAATGACTAAATGAAAACTTAATAAGTAGACAAAACTCCTAAAACGTCTATGGCCTCCTTAGCGCCCCCCTTAGGCTCTCTGTGAGTCCACAGCCCGCAGTTTGAGAACCACCAGTATAACTTATCTTCTGTGTGTGTGTCTGTGTGTGTGTGTGTGTGTGTGTGTGTGTCTGTGTGTGTGTGTGTGTGTGTCTGTGTGTGTCTGTGTGTGTGTCTGTGTGTGTCTGTGTGTGTGTGTGCTGTCTGTGTGTCTGTGTGTGTCTGTGTGTGTCTGTGTGTGTGTGTGTGTCTGTGTGTGTGTGTGTGTCTGTGTGTGTCTGTGTGTGTGTGTGTCTGTGTGTGTCTGTGTGTGTCTGTGTGTCTGTGTGTGTCTGTGTGTGTGTGTGTCTGTGTGTCTGTGTGTGTCTGTGTGTGTGTGTGTGTCTGTGTGTGTCTGTGTGTGTCTGTGTGTCTGTGTGTGTCTGTGTGTGTGTGTGTGTGTGTGTGTGTGTGTGTCTGTGTGTGTCTGTGTGTGTGTGTGTGTGTGTCTGTGTGTGTCTGTGTGTGTGTGTGTGTGTCTGTGTGTGTCTGTGTGTGTGTGTGTTGTGTGTGTGTGTGTGTGTGTGTGTGTCTGTGTGTGTCTGTGTGTGTGTGTGTCTGTGTGCGTGTGTCTGTGTGTGTGTGTCTGTGTGTGTGTGTGTGTCTGTGTGTGTGTGTGTGTGTGTGTGTGTGTGTGTGTCTGTGTGGTGTGTCTGTGTGTGTCTGTGTGTGTGTGTGTGTGTGTGTGTGTGTCTGTGTGTGTGTGTGTCTGTGTGTGTGTGTGTGTGTGTGTGTCTGTGTGTGTGTGTGTGTGTGTGTGTGTCTGTGTGTGTGTGTGTCTGTGTGTGTGTGTGTGTCTGTGTGTGTCTGTGTGTGTGTGTGTGTGTGTCTGTGTGTGTGCGCGTCAGGGTCGTCTGCTGAACCTGAGCTGCTCCACTGTCCCAACATTCGTCCTGTCAATCACAGCAACTACGCAGGTCAGTCTCACTCACACAACACGGGATAAAAAAGTCCTTCTGGATAAAAATGTTTGAGGAGTTTGAGGAGTTTGAGGAGTTTGAGGAGATGGAGAACTTGGAGAACTGGTCCTCTGCCGTGTGGTATCGGTTCTGTTCTCTTAAATCGGCTGTAACTCATCTTTACTGACTTTACTGATTGTGTTCCAGCAAAACAGGCATCTCTATCAGTGTGTTTGTGAATAATTAGTGATAATTACTGATATCAAATCAAATAGAAAAATATTCTGTGAAATATTGACTCTCAGAATGAGTCGCTCTGCGGTTCTGTGTGTGTCTGTGTGACACTGCGGTTCTTTTCCTCTTCAGGCTCTGGCTCTGATAGAACTGTACAACGCTCCTGAGGGTCGATACAAACAGGATGTTTACCTGCTTCCAAAAAAGATGGGTGAGCATAAACACACACACACACACACACAAACACACACACACACACACACACACAGACACACACATTTTAATTTTAAATTCTTTATTTGGATGAACATGTAAAATAAAATGACCATGAAATCCAAACATCAGCTCAGAGTCGTGCTGCAGGTCCAGTTTACGCTCAGAGTGAACAGATATGTCTGATAATAACAGCTCAGACTTTAATAACTGTTTATCCAGCTAAAACACATTCGCTCGTTCTCTGCAGGTGCTGACGACCACCAGACTCTATCGAGACTGCACTTAGAACCATCTGCATCCAGAACAGTTTAGAGCTCTAACAGTGATCTTCAGTAGAAAACTTCACTTCAGTAAACGCCAATTCTAACAGGGCGTAGTTCATAGTTCTTCATGAATGAGGTTACAGTGGTCCGAAGGCTCTGTTATGTTTTGGGGGGTAGTTTGCTGACGATTTTTACCCTTAGAGGAAAGCGTTGCTGCTAATCAATACAAACTAATTATGAGTGATCACCTTTACTCTATGATACAACATTTTTATCCTGATGGGGATGGTCTCGGTGCCCCCATCCACAGGACACAAGGGTCACTGAATGGTTTGATGAGTGTGTGATTGATGTGGCCTTCATAGTCAGTAGATCTCAGCTCAGCTGAACACCTGTGGGGGGTCTCGAAGGGACGTTAGCCCCATTCTCCACCACCATTGACACAGACACCCACTGAGGGAACATGTTTTCTCTCCAGTTCAGGTCCAGACGCTGAAGCTCTTCTGGCAGCTCATGATGGTCCAACACCTCACTGACACTCTTTATGCAGGTTTTTCCTTTGTTGCCCATTGGTGGCAAATAAGTACACCATTAGGAACAGTTGGAATTTTGATGGTGGTGCTGGAGCCCTTGGTCCAAAATGTCCCAGAGATGGTTCAGTGAGTAACGGCGAAGATGTTCAACGATGAATACCGGTGATGTTTATTGATGAAAGCTGTCATTCGGTGATGAACGCCGGTGATGTTTGATGATGAACGCCGGTGATGTTTGATGATGAGCGGCGATGATGTTTGATGATGAACGCCGGTGATGTTTGATGATGAACGCCGGTGATGTTTGATGATGAACGCCGGTCCTTAGGTGATGTTCAGTGATGAAAGCCGTCCTTAGGTGATGTTCGGTGATGTTCACGATGTTTGGTGATGAAAGCTGTTGTTTGGTGATGAATGCCGGTGATATTTGGTGAGGAACACCAGTTCCGCACAACAGCAGGTCTACAGATGTCACACTGATGGTGCTGACTGACTGTGTGTTTGATGTTTAGATGAATACGTGGCCAGTTTGCACTTACCAACATTCGACGCCCACCTGACCGAACTTACTGACGAACAGGCGAAATATCTCGGACTGAGCAAACACGGCCCCTACAAACCCAACTACTACAGGTATACACACACACACACACACACACACACACACACACTAATATACACACACACACACACACTAATATACACACACACACACACACTAATACACACACACACACACACACACTAATATACACACACACACACACACACACACTAATATACACACACACACACACACTAATATACACACACACACACACACTAATACACACACACACACACACACACTAATATACACACACACACACACACACACTAATATACACACAAATAT